AGCTGTACAATCCACTAGCCTAAAGGTCCTCGCTGAAGACGACTAGCAGCCTGACGCATTGCCTCCTCAATGCGGCGGTAGAGCTCCTGATACTAAAAGGGATAACAAATTGAAACAACTCACAATGAGGAAAACACTGAGTGGCTTATTAATTTTAAAAATAACCTTAATAAGAATCCGAGGTAAAGCTGTAATATAAAATTTGCCTACTCTACAAAGCAAATATTGCGAAGTATACACCACATGATAAAGAACAATTTATCATCCTTTAAAACTTCTAAATGGATAGTTAATTTGATAATAGTTGCAAGATACAAGGATGATAAAGAAATTTTGAATAGAATAAATATAAAGAAAGTTGTGTCCATTCATAAAACGCCTTTTAAAGGGCTTGGTTTAAACTGATACAAAATAGACGTGGCGCAAAAAAATCGAATACATAAAGTTTCTCACTAATATAGACGAAATAATTGTCTATACTGATAATACGAATATAAGGTAGAACAGAAAGCCCGACAAAAGTAAAGATATCAAAGGAAAACACTAAAAAGTGTCATAAACTAAAAGCTTCGTAACGAACTTTTAGGAGAGGTTTAAAAAGAAGAGAAATTGCTTAAATTTTGGAATCGGAAGACAAACTTTGAAGCTTAGCCTGTAAAAAATCCGAATAAATCTACCTAGCCAATTGGAATCAGGCTCGCAAACGCAATTTCCCGTAAACCCACAAGCTCAAATAAAGTATGGATAATTAATGTAGGAATGTGAACGTCTAACAAGTTATAACACGAAATGAAGAATATTGGTGGCGGCCGCAGTCATAATAATCGACGTAAAAAACTCCTAGAAACTAACTCTGTTTTTAATTTTAGGACCAGTTATGCCATTAGCCAGGGTAAATCGTTTGGAGTGCCACAGCTATCAAAATAGATTTAAAAGAGCTAGAGGACCGAAGTGGCGTAGCCCACTCTTCTAATGGCGAACCCGATGAGTTGAGGATAATGTGAACAGAAAATTAGGCATAAATAATAATAATAGGAGATATGGAAAAAATATTTCACCATAGAACTTACTTCCTTAGTATAAAACATGCTCAACTCAGAATGACCGTTTTTTCGACGAGAAAGACAAAGAACACGTGTGTGGGGGCGATAAGTCATGTTGATAAGTTGGTCATACCACAATCGATCGATGATGTCACCACTAGTATTTCGCAGTATAAGGCTGTCTTCATGCACCTGCGGCAAGAAAATAGGTATAAAACAGCAAAAAAATGTAAATAAAAGTTAAATTAGGCCTTTCTGTCAAGCATCTGATTAATCGGGTAATCAGACAAAGAGCAATTAAAAAAGCACAAACCGGAAAGCCTAGAACTAATACATTAACAAAGTGATCAAACAAATAATGGAACGATCAGCCAAATAAAGATAGCCACAAAAAGTTAGTCGTATTACATTTAGTGAAGCAAACGAAGCCTAAGAAAATAGCATGAAAGGAAAGCATGTGTGATTTAAAGGATAATAATTAATATTTAGGGCAGCATTA